GTGTGCCTTGGCAGTCTAGTATATCTTGTTGAAGTGCAGATCCCCTGTCCTCCACCAGGGGGTGCTGCAGCACCCTCAGCACCCCTACTTCCCACGGCCCTGTCCGGGGGTATGCCCCCCCGGGAAGATTCTTTTGAACATTTTAAAGTAAAATCCTTCAATCTGGTGCGCTTTGAGCAGAATTACTCTCCAACTTTAAAGGATATTTTTGGTTTACTGTCCTATAGTAGGAACATTGGAATGATTTCAAACCTGTTTTTATTTATCCTAATAATTATAAAGGAGTGCCTTGGAAATATACGTTTACATAATTTGTGGTCAAAACGTTTGAGACCCACTGAGATAACTTAGACTAAAAATCTAAACACTCAGAGAGTCCTTTACCTCACTGAGCTTCTCAGTCTGACAGGAGAGCTCTCCTCCACCCTCGTTGTAGAAACATCTACTTCTTATATCCGTTAGCGCAGCTAGCACCAGATTCTAATAACAACAGCACCGGTACCGGTGCGCCCTCTCTATCTCTCTCCCTCTCGCTCCCACGCTCGCACTTTGGCTGTGAGCTGCGGGCGCCTGATAAGCCAACATCCCCTTTCATCACTTACAGTGCCCATCGTACTGTACAGGGCAAATGAAAAGTGTAACCGGGGTGAAAAGGGTGTTACATTTACTTAATTATGAATATTGTTACATAAAGGCCGAAAATTAGGATGAGCGTCAACGGTAAAAAAAAATGTTTCCCCTCCCAGAGCTACCAGCTGCGCCCCAGATCTGCCGTCTATGCCAAAAATTGGCCCTGCCTAGTACATACAGTTGCAATGGCTGCACCGCCGCTATTTGTATATAGGGGAAACACTGCACCATGCTCCCTTAAACAGGCTCTATTTACCTCCTTAAGAATTTATATAAAAACATGTTTTCCAAACAGGTTCTGCATGACTGCATTCACAGTATTTAATTGGAGACATCTGTTTCCAAAGAGTGAAACTAATTTCATTAACATATAACCGACTGCATCAGACTGATTGAGGTGTAACAGCACAGAGACGTCTGCTGAACTGAAGCCACTGCCCCTGTGTGTGTATCCTTTGAGTACTGAGTACATTTTATTCCCTGATTTTAGAAAGATATATATAAATTTAAAAAATGTAAACCCTAAAAGTGGTTACCTTTGAAGACTCCTGAGTGCGCTCCTGGTATTATCGTCCTTGCAGGAAAGTGACCCTTCTCTCTGTGATGGCGAAGAAATCTCTCTCTGAGGCGGTACTTCTGTCCCAAAGGGTCCTTTGTTTCTTCACATTCAGGCAGCTTTCCTCTGTGTTTGAAGTGACCCTCTCCATTCCTAACATGAAAAAGTAACAAACCGTAATTTAAGCCAAAAAGTGTTTTTTATACTGATAAACAACATCTTCAGTATATTTTAAAACCAAGCTATTAAAAAGACAACGTCTCCTCGAGCTGACAGACACACCTCTCACAGGTGCAGCATTCACACATTTCATTTCCTTCGCCAAAAAAGCTGGCACCGTAGAAGCACGTGATCTCCTCCCCAGGTGAAATGGGTCGAATCACCTCAACGCACGCAATATTCTTCTCCCCTGGGAGGAACTGGGTGGGTGAAAAGGGGAAAGAAAAAAACAGCAAAGGACAAAGGTTTGTGAGCCCATGGGACCCATTAGCACGAAGCAGTTACAGTAGGTTGTACTTCTGTATCTACTTTGTGTACAACTTTGAATATCCACAATGTATTAATGCAAACATTTAAACATTTAAATGTGACCCGAGTAAACATTTTTAATCTATCAAATATTTTTCATGGATAAAAAAATGTTGAATTGACGATTACCTTGCAGTTTGGTTTGCAGTCTTCAACCCGGGACAAACAAGGGGGAAATAAATAAAGAGATTAAAGGTTACGGGTTATTAATTCAATCACAGCAATGAATAAAAGGCTTGCTATTTTGTGGTTCAGATGGCTGGTTCGGGATTAATTTTGCAAAAGGCTCAAAGGCTAAACTGATTAACTCTCAAACATTATAAGATCTTGTCAGAGACTGCCCTCTGAGTGGACGGGAGAATTTACTTGAATTTCACCGGACCTTTTGTACACATTACAATTCAGTTCCTACCAGTGTTTCCGCCAGACCAGGGCCGAGAGGGCGTCCACCCGAGAGTGGGGGGGGGGGTGTGACGTCAAGTTGTGTCACGTGATTTGAATTTTGAATTGAGCTGTCCCCTTTATAGATAGTATCTCTTTATGTATTAGTGTGATTGGAATTCCTTTTTAGTGAGCCGGATCATTTGGCTCGGCTCTTGGCTCGGCTCACTAAGAAGAGCCGGCTCTTTCGGCTCTTCGTGTTACCACAGTTTACCACGGAGCCTCAGTTTCGCAGCGGCGAAACTGAGGCTCCGTGGTAAACTGTGGTAACACGAAGAGCCGAAAGAGCCGGCTCTTCTTAGTGAGCCGAGCCAAGAGCCGAGCCAAATGATCCGGCNGACACAGGGGACCTGTAGGGTGAAGTGGAGGTCCAAAAACAACCAAACCTACTGTCCTTCAGAGTACTGGAAGGCAAGCCGATTGTCTATTTTAATTAGTTTTGGGATTTCCTTATGGCCAATTAGAAAGTTATTATGTCGCACATGGAAAACTAGTATGTAAGGGAAATAAAGGGGCAGTTTCTACAGCTAGCCGAGGAGAATATGGTGTCAATTTAGACGAACAAATGACGTCAAATTGTGTCAACAATTGTTTATGTATAAATAAATAATGCATTTAAAATATTGTCACCAGTATAATCAAGCAGTGTTGTTTCGCTGACAATAAACAGCCTCATTTTAGCATCAGTCATATGTTGAGCATATGAGCAAACATTTCTATACATTATTCACAATATTTACACCAAAAATGTATACCTTCTGTTTTTCAGGCAAGGTAGCACCTGTCAAGTTTTATGTCAAATTCCTTAAATTTTTCAAAGAATCCAACTTTAGTCGTCCAAGTGTTCAAATGTGTTCGTCCACCTCAAGATCTAGAAAAGTTGATTTTGCCGGCCGGGTCCTCCTCTACGACTTTGCTTCCAAAAGTGGCTTGATGTCTTTAATGCCATGCTCAGCTGCCACGGTGATGATGTGGTCCAGAGCATTCATCTGGCCCAACATCTTCACAACCTCTTTGATCAGGTCCCTGTTGGCAGAAGAACTTATATTACAAGCAGTACGGACAAAACTCATTATTCACCAAAACTCCCCTGGCAGTGCATTCTTCCATTGTATGCCTTTCAAAAGAACCTTCCATGACATGCCAGCAGATGGAGCAATTACTGAATTCAAATTTAGACAGATGAACTGTATATACAGAGCCTCTTACTTGGCAGAGCGCCGTTCCAAATCAGACCCGCCCAAACTGCCGCGGTGAAACGAGCTGGCCAGGTGGGTGAGGTAGCGACAAAACGGCTCCAACTGAGGCAACGTCTTCTGGCCCTTCAGTCCAGAGAACCACTGCACAGGCAAACACTCCACCACCTGAAACACAACAAAGGACGAGGAGGATGTAAACACCGGCTCTGCATCACCTGGGGGGTATACTACGAAGCAGGATTTTCGGTTAGCCGGCTAACTTCAGGGAACTCTCGGGGTTTCCGGTCCTACGAAGCTAGTTCTCTTTTTAGCAGGCTAGATCTCCATGGTAACTTATGCTGTGCGGCTAACCTGCCCGGGAGCAGGTTAGGTTGCAGGCTAAGAGCTCAACTCAGTGAAAGCACTGCCTGCTGACCAATCAGAGCTCAGTGTGCGGAGTTTAAAGCAATCAAGTCACATTACAGGAGAAAGGAAATACAGAAAAGCTGCCGTTGCAGGAAAGACGGCCGGCAAGAATCACCGACTGTGTGAACGTGAACATCAATAGATCACCTCCCATCTTCAGAGCAATCTGACTATTATAACATTAGCGTTAAGAAAGCTTACTAAAATACCCGCCACAACATAAGTAACCGGATCAAAGTAACATTAAGTACAGTCCGCAGCATATCACATCATAATGTATCATATATTTCCTTATCTGAGTCAGCTGAGCCGTACCTGGCCGTGCAACACACGTGTCACATACTGTATGCAGAAGTATTATTTTAAGCAACACATTTTGAGAATGAGAACAGATATTAATTAATAAGAAATTACTTTAAAGTTACTCGGGGTGTCAAATTGTAATGGTAATAAGCTTTTGATCTGGATGAATCAAAAGTAGGATCAGAAGTTCTTTTACAGGGAGCCTGCAGTTGCACTTTTTTTTGGAGAAGCCAAATAACAGAAGATGATGGAAAACCAACAAAACAGGAAAATCTCAGCTTCCCAGAAGTGACGGTGTGGCAATAAAAACTAACTTGGAGTTCTAAAAAAAACTAAAACCAGTGCAGGATCTGGAGGCTTTTTGTAAAAAACCGTAATGCCATCTAGTGGCTGTTACTCTGTCTGTCAGGGTCACAGACAAAATGTATGGGACTTCCATGGTAAAATATAAATCCCTTCAAAACAAGTCAGTTAATCTAAAAACCCATTTTGACTTATTGAGTTCTCCTGTGATTACGGCTGCGGTCTCACTCCTACCTTCTGGCACTTGGGAACATTGTCCTCCCCTGTGTCTGTGGTCTGCAGAGCGGAGAGGATGTATCGGTTCAGAGTGCTGTCCAATGCCAGGTCCCTCAGACAGGAGCCTGACAGGATGCCTTCCCACTGCAGGATGTTGCCCAGCAGCTAGGACAGAAACACACCAGCAGATAAACATAATATCCACAATGTAAAGGTTTATTATTAGTGGTTAGTGGACAAAATATATCAAGCATGGATGGCTAGCATTTGTATCTGTAATGTGTATTATCTCCTTTCTACATGTGTCAGGAGATTAATCATTCATACTTTATTGAAGATGACTATTTAAATAAATAATTGCATACATCTAAAAACAACATACCTTCACACAGGACCAGAACTGCCTCTGGTAGAATAAGTAAGGGCCGCCATTCTTGTTCTCCAAGACACTGAAAAAAAAGCAAAACCACTTTCAGTATCCCATCACACAGTTTGAAGAAGTACACACAGAAACCATTCTATTGTTTGTAATTAAGTAGTGTACTTTTTGGGGTAGAGTGGAAGGAAGACATCTTCATCCAGAGTCCGCCTGATCCTGAAGACAATCATTCTTAGAAGCTCCTGATAGAGCGGGGAGAAAAAATTAAGATCAAGACGACAATACTTATACCACAAGAAGCAAAGCCATCTCTTATTTTGACGATCAAATTATTACTTTTTCTATGTAATAAAAGTTCACAATACCTGTGTGTATCGGTTTTCTCCATGCAGCACAGTGGGGTAACTTTTCATTAGTCTCCGAATGAAGCCCACCAGCCTGGCTGTCTGACTGTTGGACAGCGGGTCCCATACTTGCTCTGCCAACACTGACACACACACACACACACACACACACACACACACATGAATACACATGACATACTTTGTTCTAGCCTGCCTTTTCATGCCGAGCAAACCTTAGTATTCTGGGAGCAGCTGTGTGGGTTACTCTACCTGTCAGTTTGGAGAGGATGACCTTCTCCACGATAGAAGGCAGCAGGCAGATGTCCCCGTCTCCTCTCTGCAGCACGCTGTTCTCCTCGAAGCCGTAGAACAGCAGCGACTCAAACCACAGCATGTACTCAAAATTTGCACACTGAGCCTGGGCAGAGAAAAAAAAATGAAAAAAAAAATGGACAAGTTGATTTCAGAGTTACGGCCGTTTCAAAAAGAGAAAACGTTGAAGTAAACGAACGGACGGGCCTTACCTCGAGAGGGTTCCACGTCATGAGCTGCAGGCGGATTAAAGGGTTGAAGAGTTTGGGCAGGCAGAGTCCGATGTAAGCGTCTCTGTAGCAGTCGGCATATTCTCTCCTCCACACTTCAAAATGGGACTTGATGCAGTCGAGTGAATGGAAGTCCTCCACGACATCCTCAAATGCTTTCTTACATTCCCTGATGATCCGATCTGGGTGAGAAAAGACTTCGGTTATTTTTTGAATTCCGATGTGCGTTATGTCGGTGTTTGATCCCATTTGATCAACACGTTCTCCTCGTTATATATATATGTACCTCTCTCCATGTTGACGCTGGTCATGTCAGTGGATGTCTCCTCGTCATCAGATGATAAGCCTTCTTTATGCTCGGCCCTTTTTCCATTCTGCTCTCTAGCTTGTCGCCGCCGAGTTCTACTCCCACGGGCACAAAGGCAGATCATTAAAACCAAGGGCAGACTTGATGAGACAGAGTAACCACTGTGTTGGCCCTGAGATGACTTCCCCCATAGTCAGCATTTATGATGGCTTGCATTGTCAAATCAAAACTACAATTAGGGCTCTCATTATGCATGTGAAAACACAACGAGATAATCTCAACTTTTAGCATCAGGATGAGGTCAGCAAAAAAACACAGCCAAGTGACAATCCACCCTGTTATCTAGACCCTCCAGAAAAACGCGGGCTAAAATCCTTGATTATGCGATTAAACATGCGGGGTTTTTAAGTGATTTTATGCGGTGAAATTGCGGGAAGTTGCGAAATATGCGGAAAGTTGCGAAATATGCTAAATATGCGGGAAAAAAGAATAACCATTTTTTAAAATATTGGGCTGTCTTATTTATTCTCTCTCACACACAACCTGCCAGTAACGTTAAACCCCTTTACTATTCAATTAAACACATTCAATGTTTATTTATTGTAAAAGCAATTGGGCTATTTTAATCTCACACACACACACACACCCCCCCCCCCCACACACACACACACACACACACACACACACACACAACACCCCCCCCCCCACACACACACACACACACACACACACTTCTCCGCCTCATTCTGTTTTCATTTACTCGTTCGTTATCTGACCAGCTTCAATCTTGTAGGCTACTCACTTCGTTTCTTGTAGCCACAGTCGCCCTGAAATATGGTGCGAGTAAACCCTTGTGAGACAGATGTTAACATACACAATGCTAAATATCTACTACTATGATACCTAAAGGTACTATATGTAACTTTCCGAAATCTTTTCTATGACATTGATAGCCATCGTTGACGTTAGCCGTCATATTAGCTAGTAAAGTAACTAGTAACTACGTAATTTGGCAAGCTAGCCAACCGACAATTCCACGTTGAGGATATTTTGCTAGCAATAAAGTTAGCGAGCCAAGGTTAGACAGCTAGCTATAATTTAGCTACGCGTTACACGAGCTGTTACAGTAATTTGCCATCCACCCAACTATCCACTTGGATCGATTTTTGCTATCGACAAAATAAACAAGTACGCTTAGATTAAATGCTTAACTGTAACATAACAACCCTGCAAACATCCAACCCAGTCTCATGGCATTTCGTGTTCACCAACACGATTTTTAATCTATTGATTCGTGTTCACCAACACGATTTTCTCCTTTTTTTCGTGTTGCACAGCACGATTTTAAAAGCAATGTATTTCTACTGGTAATGTGTTTCGTGACTGCAGCATGTCTTTTTCTCCGGTCGGGTCGTGGAAGACCGGAAGCTGTGTGGTTCATAAAAACATGTTCTTACTCAATATCAAGCCACAATTATTGCTTTTATTTTAAATCGTATAATTACGGACTTTTGTTGCCGTCTGTGAGGAAAATAAATGGGGCTGAGAGCCTCAGGATACTGAAATCTGTATATTTGTAAAACTTTTTTTCCTTCGGACTGCCTGCCGTTTTTTCGTCTTCTAATCCTTAATTTGCGTTATCTTATTTAGCTTTCCGTCTCCTATTACACACAATAACTAGCGTCATTTAATTGGTTTTATCTCTACAATTAACTTTTATTT